TTTAGTCCAGATATGTTTCTTTAAAAAATAATAGTCGTAACTTGGGTAACACAGTAATGACGTTGTTGTTAATCTCGCCAACCAAGCTGGACCCTCACGATAAGCGCTTAAGCTTTCAGCTCGCTAGCTTGAACGCTAATTAATTTATTAATCAGTCGTATTCAGAGCAAAACAGTAAAATTGTGAAGCAAAGTTCTCCTAATCATCCCTGATACACAGTGTATTAAACTTTTAGGTAGTTAGTGTGTTGAAAAATAAAGGATGACAAAAGCCGTTTCATCTAGCAATATATTTAATTCATTTCTTGAGAAAGTGATTGTATGGTTTCATAGGAATCGTCTAAAAGTGATGAATAAGCAATTTGAAAATGTATAAAATATAATGTGTTTTAATTTCAGCTCCTAGCAAACTATGATTACGTGAATGTAAATCCGTTGCTGGCTATTGTCGACGTTAAAGATAAAAATGGTCATTCGGTGCTACAAGAAGCTGTCGAAACAGGTTGGGTCACTGGTGTTTGCACCGCCTTAGAAGCCGGTGCTGATGTTACTTCTAAGGTATAATGTAATTTAATAATTATGCAAAATAGAATAACCGTAAAAAATATCTAGATAGATACTGAAAATTGTGCAATCAAATTACAGGCTAAGGATGGAGAAACTCCTATCCATTCAGCAGCGGCACGAGGGGACATAAATATACTAAACGAAATACTCAGTGTAGCAAAACAAAGAGATGCTTTAGACTACCAAAATGAAGGGGGCGAGACAGCTTTATACAAAGCAATCATTCATGGTCACGTTGATTGTGTAGCACAAATACTCGCTGAGGGAGCAAGTCTAAACATCAATCTACCGGGTGACTTAAATGTTTTACATGTAGCTGCTAATTATGGACATGTAGATGTACTAAGAATATTACTTGGACACAATGAAGCTGTAACGGAATCTTTAATCAATAAATTAACAGCTGGAGACAGACGTGGCTTTAGTCCCTTACATTTCGCCGTTTCAAATAATCATAAAGAATGTGTGGAATTACTTTTATCCAAAGGAGCTGACATAAGACTAAGATCAAGTTGCAGTCCGCACAAATTGTCAACCCCCTTGCATATAGCGGCAGCAAAGAACTACGTCGATATAGCAAAAATAATACTCAGTTTTGATATTACAACTGTACATGAAGTCAATGGTATGGGCTGGTTTCCTTTGCATACAGCTAGCCATCATGGCAGCAGGGACGTTATAGCTCTGCTACTAAAAGAAGGCGCTGATCTTTCAGGTTATACTGAAGGTCCTAAGAAATATAGACGAACAGCTATCGATATGATAATTAATAATTTATCAAAGCCTACAGAATTTATGGAAGATATTTTCGATTCTTATATTTCTAGTAACGGACAAGACTTACAAGATCATAACTGTAAAGTTACTGTCAACTATGGAATATTAATGCCTACAGTCTATGAAATGGAACAAATGAAGGTCATAGAAGCGCTCTTGAAAACCGGAAACAGAAACGGTCAAACCAGGCTGTTGGTCCATCCATTAGTAGAAAGCTTTCTATATTTGAAATGGAAAGCACTTCTTCCATTTTTTTACACAATTATATGCGTCTATGCTATATTTTTAGTATCATTAACAACATTTGTAACTTCAGTATTTTTCTATAAAGATACAGAAGAAGCAATGCCGGCTTGGTTGGATGTTACCATTTGGGGTAACATTGTTTACGTATCAATATGTTTAATAGTTTTACAAGTAAGTAAAAAAATTATGTAGTATTTAAGTGTAACGTAACGAAATAAGAATACCCGTAGAAAATTTGCGCCTAAGTCCAAATCGATAATAGCAAATTTAGTTTTATACGTAAAACAGTTTGTGCAATGTATGTGGCGATCCTTTGCGATTTTCACTGTCTCGGTAGTGAAGTGGTAGCTTATGCGACTGCTGTGTTGTGGTCTCGGGATCGATTCCCGGGTCGGACCACATATTTGTATGATCTGCAAATATTTGTTTCGAAGTTTGGGCGTTTTCTTTATTTCGAGTAACTGTGACTCATAGTAATTGTTAGTGGGACATTCAAACTTAGCCTATGTTAATATTAAGGTACATAAATACAAAAAGATACAGATAGCCGACCGCATAGGGTTATATATGGTCAGTCCATTCTGTCGGCTATTCTGGCTAGGACCCTGTTGGAGATGCCCCTTACCCGCGACAAGAATTATGCTGCTCATATACTGTTTAATTTGTATAGTTTTAAAAAAAGTATAAAAGTATTCTATCAGACAATCTACTTTTAATGGCACAAGCTCTGCTTAGTTTGAAACTAAATGGCTTTGTGTGTCAGATGTCCGAAAAATATTATTATATTTACAAATTTCTAAACGGTTTTCTTACTAAAACTGAACAGTTGCTGTGTAAATAAACAATTTTTACAGGAAATCCTCTACATGAACGTAAAGAGTAGCCGATATTTTTTACAACTGGAGACTTGGGTGAAATTTGGATCACTAGCATTCTCTGTAATCTTGCCCTATGCAGTCATAGTAGTACAGTTAAATGATGCAGAGTGGCCGCGACATGTTGCAACCGTGGCGCTACTGTTATCATGGCTGGAAATGATGTTCTTGCTATCCAGGTTCCCAAAGTGGGGATATTATGTTCTCATGTTCGGTAAAGTTGCCACAAATGTCATAAAGGTAAGGTCACAGATATACATTGTCAAATTTGGCTCTTAAACATTATAAATAAATCCATTTTGTTTACTTGCAGATTCTTCTGACGTTCGTATTTTTGGTGATTGGATTTTCCTTTAGCTTCATGATACAATTCAGGTCACAGAAACCTTTTGATGGGCCATGGGCGGCACTCGTTAAGACCATAGTTATGATGACATCAGAATTCGATTACACAGCTCTTTTTGATGAAGAGCATTCCAAGAAATTAGCATCTTCATTGATCATAGTTAGAGTAATTTTCCTAGTTTTCCTTATCTTAGCTGCCATAGTTCTGATGAACTTGCTTGTTGGTGTAGCCGTTAATGATATTAATGAACTAAAACTCCTTGGCAATATAAGAAGACTAGTTAAACAAGTAGAATTTTTAGGAACACTTGATACGCTCGTATATAATAAAGTATTCACAACAATATTGCCAAGAAGAGTAAATCAGTCGTTGAAAAGAAAACGGAAAGTGAATTCAATAATTTTGCTGAATCCGGGGAAATCTAGCTGGAGATACACCAAGCTATTACCTTCGAGGATAAAAGATGCTATATTTAATAAAGCACAGATACAAAAGAAACAAATAGATGACGAACAAGGCCTTCTATCTTTTAATAAGAAGTTGAACGATATGCATGATATATTAACTAGTATCAGTGAAAAGAAAGAAGCAGAGCCCGCGCCGGATCTCCAAATTTGTGGTGATGAAGATCCTAAATCTAAATGTAAAATTGATAATTTAGTTTCTCATTTAAATGAATTGGATACAGTCATAGGAGATATTAAGAACCAAACAACAGCACAGGCAGAAGAATCGAAATCTTCAATAGCTGCGTTGAACTTTAAGTTAGATCAATTATCTTCAGAATTGCGAATGACTAACATGTTTTTGCTTGCATTAGAGAAGAAACTTGCTAAATGATTCTAAATTCACTATTACTGACATGTATATTTAATCATTTTGTTAAAACATTATAGTTGATGTTCGAATTGCGAGTGAGATCAGTTGATATTTAAGACGTAGTTTTTTTACTTAGTGTTTTCGAATACAGAAGTAATACGTTTTATTTCTTTTAATGTTGCCAATCCTACTCCTTGAGCTTCTTGTGTTTATTAAGTTCATATTTTGTTAGGTATTTAAGTAGTACTGGGTCTACCAATAGGGACGACCTGGTTTTGACAGCTAATAGCGGCCATGTTCGATGATGGATCTTTGACGTCTCTTGACATTTGTGTTCAGTAAGGTTCGCCATTTTATCATGTCACGTTTCACTTTAAACCAACGCTTGGAAATTGTAAAAAATTTCTTTGAAAGTGACGAAGGAAACCCTGTTACTGTGAATGGCGAGCGCTATAACTCGATGTTAACCGAATATTTCTTTCCGGAATTTGATGATATTGATGCAGACGACCTTTATTTTCAACAAGACGGTGCACCACCTTACATTACTCGAGTGAACATGGAATTATTGCGTGGAAAGTTTGGTGAGTCGTTAATTTCGAGAAACGGACCGATCAGTCGGCCACCAAAATCGTGTGATTTAACACCTTAGGACTATTTTCTTTGGGGTTACGTTAAATCTAAAGTGTACAGCAATAATCCAGCTACAATTCGTGACCTAAAAACCAAATTTAGAAGAGCCATAGCCGACATACCGGCCGAAATGGTGCACCGCGTCATCGAAAATTGGCGTGATCGGGTGACCGTCTGCAAAAAGAGCCGCGGCGGTCATTTGGCCGATATATTATTTAAAACATAAATTGCATAAAATTATCTATCAAATAAATCAATCGGATGCATTTTTCATAAAAAAATGTGTGTTTTATTCAATTTTTAAACCAGGACGTTCTTATTGGTAGACCCCATATACCGACGATCTGGTAAAGGTTCCTGAAAGCCGTTGGTTGCAGGCAGAACATAACCGGTTGTTGTGGCGAACCTTGAGGGAGCCCTATGTCCAGCAGTGGACGTCTTTTGGCTGAGATGATGATGATTTCAAGCAAATTATTCGACTTACACCGATTGTCGTCTTAATAGCATAGATAAAGAGATGGAATGAGGTAGGTTAAGAAAATACATCTTTTAATTGATAGCTTCATTTGTGAAGAACTTATTCTGAAACAGTGCTCAGTATTCTCCTTTTGTAAGATCGAGAGATGATCGGAACTGAACTGTGACCGAACTTTTATTATGAGAATTAGCCCTCTGTTAGTTGTTTTGAAGTTGGACCTTCTTCCGTTTAACAATGAATACCAGTCTTTATTTTAATAATTATTTTCTAGGAGTTATAGTGCTAAGGATGATAGTATGAAGACATCCATATAATGCAATGATTATCTTTATCTCAAATGAAAAAAAAAAATTTAACACGCTCCTAGCGCCAACAACAGAAAATCTTGCTAACCATTGAGGAACATTGACGATCATAGCGTTCACGAACATGACTCTGTTCTTTAACTTAAGTATAGCAAATATGGACAACCACCTCATAACTTTGTTTAAAATAGTCTCATCAACAATCTTGTAACTTACTTTTAAGACTTCTGCTGTAACTTTTCCGAACATTAAAACATAGAATCCCCATCGTGGAAATTTGCAGAGGAGGAACATCATCTCCAACCAGGTCAGGAGGACTCCTGACCTGGTTGGAGATGCTACAGCTCGCATTAGCTCAGATTCAGGACTGAAAGTCGATATCACTGCAGGTAGGAACATAGCCAATATAGTAGCTATAAAATTTGTCCAAGTCTCTAAGAAGAAGAAATAACTTTTTCCTGCCATAATCTTCATAAACATAATCTGTAAGATGAGTAGCTTTAAATTAATGAGAAGACAGAAGTTAAATATACCCATTTGATTACTGTAGTAATTATGGAAGATAGTTTGGAAATAGTTTCCTTTCCTTAAAACATTGAAAATAAATTAAAATTCCTTATATATTTCCGTGTATTTTTACCAGGAAAAGCATTTTTCGAATATTTTTTTTACAGTTTTTTAGGCTAGGCTAGGTGCGTTTTAGCCACCGCCCAGAATAGGGCACGGCTCTGTCGTCCTCAGAGGATATTGGCGGTTAGAGCCATACGCGGTTACCGCACCGTATCGACGGATGCGGCGTGCGCATTGGCCGGTACTCGCCTGTGGGATTTGGAGGCGGAAGTGTGTGAATAAATCATTAATTTTTCCTTTCTCTAAGGAATACTCCAAAATTGTCTTTTTTTAATTATTTTTCTCATGAAATCATAAATCAACCAGTTAAGAGCTCGTCTGACGCCTGCACCTAAGGTTCGACCAAAGGCCATACCATTTTAGAAACTGAAAACTGCTTTAGTTCTATTAAAAATAATTAAAATTACCTAAGTTCATAAGCTATAGAATCACGAAACATAAGTTGAATTGAAAGAAAAACCTCATTTTACAGTTATAAAAATACTTTTTCATACTCCTGGTTAATAAAAATTTGTTTAAAATGTAAAGCTCAATGGTCACTCTTTTGATTGCTTGTTTTTTAACAGCTTCAAAGCGTGGTTCTTGATGACGACGGAGTATTTGCTGATAAATTGAACTTTATATATATATTGAATCTTTTTTAAAGGCACATGATACTTTACCGAACGAAGGAGCCAGCAACCGATTTCTTCGTTATATTATGTTTGATGAAGGCCCATGGCCAGAAAACGCAGGCAAAAAGGCATCCAAAAGTCAATGTTATAATGAACTTACGTGTTTACTAAATTGGTGACAGTCGTGCTCCATGCTGTCACTCCAAGCCTCTGGAAGAGTGGAAGACCCACTCGTGTCACATGGAACGTTAATTAGGTTTTTTTTCAAAACACATTTTTTTTATTTCAAGCTCGATTTTTGGTTATTTTTTTATTTTGTAAGTCTGTAAAAATAATAGTAATAGTCTATCTTTGAGAAAATCATTTTTTTTGTAAGTTTCTTAATAATTTTACTTGATTTTAAAGATTTGAAATGAAATTAGAGATTAAGTCAGTAAAGTTAACTTGTGTAGTATCAAATGTAACTTTTCTGTACTGCTGAATTTAAGGCCAACCATTATTAAAAGTTATCTCTTAGTACAAGTCATCAACCTTAACAAGTCAAGATCATTAACCTTGAACACGAATTTTCTATAGCTGGAACGTCTGAACCCTCTGACCGACCGTTTATTTTGAAATATTATTGAAGCGAAATAATTCAGGGCAAGAACAACCGTAAGACAAACTATTCAAAAAGCGAAATCTGAATATTATTACAAAGCTTTTACAGATTGTCACAATAAGCCTAAGAAGCTATGGTCACTAATAAACCATCTCTGTCATAATAACAAAAAGGAAGAACCAACAATAGCTAGACTGGAGACACAAACAAACACAATTAACGATGCACAAGCAATATGCGAATACCTTAATGTATTCTTTTCTACCATTGGAGAAACCTTGGCTAAAGCAATACCTAGTAACTTTCATATGAATAGTACATTCACTGATGGAAAATCTGCGACTAAATTGAATGTAACGAAGCTATCAGAATTCAAACCAGCTACCGTAAGTGAAGTCGACAGAATTATTGACAACCTCAATTGTAACACTGCTACGGGCGTGGACGGAATCAGCACGAAAACAATTTTATGTGTAAAACCTCTAATTATTGAAAACTTGACCAAATGTATAAACACATGTCTTAAACAAGGTAAATTTCCTAGTAGTCTAAAAATTGCCAAAGTTACCCCAATACATAAATCAGGTAGTAAATCTAATCCTAGTAACTATAGGCCCATATCGGTACTACCTGTTATATCGAAAATTTTTGAAAAGATTTTGTACAACCGTCTCGAAAAGTTCTTAAATACAAATCAAATTCTCTCAAACAACCAATTTGGATTTAGATCAAAATCTAACACACTATCTGCTACAATAGACTTAATAACCAAAATTAAACTAAATATAGACCAAAAACATATAGGGCTAGGCATATTTATAGACTTGAAAAAAGCATTTGATACTGTAAGTCATACAATTCTTTTGAATAAACTATCTGACATAGGTATAACTGGCTCTGCGCATAGCATCTTTAAATCTTACCTTTCAAATCGTAGCCAGATAGTTAAAATTGGTTATCACGAAAGTCAACCCAAGTCTGTTACGTACGGCGTTCCTCAGGGATCAATATTAGGGCCTTTGTTATTCCTTATTTACATCAATGACATACATGATCTGAGTCTTAAAGGTGATGTTACGTTATATGCCGACGATACTGGTTTATTTTACTTTGACCACTCAATAGATACAGTTATATCCAATGCCCAAGATGATCTTAATTTACTCAACAAATGGTTTCAATACAACCTACTAACCATAATCATCTCAAAAACAAATTACATGCTGTTTAAGGCTAAAAATAAGAAAATCTCAGACTATCCTTACCTTAAAATAGACAACCAAAGTATCAATCAAACAAATAGCGAAAAATATCTTGGGCTAATTATTGATAGCAACCTTACATGGCAAAGTCACATAGAAAAACTTAAATCCAAACTATCATCTCTCACTGGAATCTTAAGACCCATCTCACGATGTCTGCCACGTAAAGTGCGATACTTTATATATAACTCTCTGGTAAAGTCCCATATTGATTATTTAATAGAGATTTGGGGCACATCCTCCAAAACTAACTTAAACTTACTACAAAGAGCCCAAAATAGGCTAATAAAGGTCCTTTTTCACTTTGATTATCTAACGCCTACGGAAATAGTGTATAGAAACACAAAAATACTAAATCTAACCCAGACTTACGTATACTATACCTGTTTATTGGTGCGTAAAGTATTGGGCGAGGATATCCATACACAAATAAGTTTCACCATAAAAAGAGACGTTCAAAAGACTCAATTAAGAAGTGCTAATAATATAGTTTTGAAACCACCGCGCACCAACTATGGCAAAAAGAATCTCATGTATGAAGGCGCGCAGTTATATAACAGGCTTCCTAAAGATATTAAGGAATCGCGATCCATCGCTTCTTTCAAAAAAATGCTTAAAGATCATGTAATTAAAAACTACAAGTAATTACTAAAAGTATGAATCTTAATATAAATCAGACAAACAAGCAATTAAGCTAAATAAATATAGAATAAAGTGAAACACACTTAAAAATAATTTTCGTCTTACAAATATTGATGACAAAAATTAAAATATCGTTTCCAGTGAGGCGCACTAAAATCTTACATCTTTGTAGTGTGATGTTCACTCCGTCTACGCTCGAAGTTAGTGTAGGTAACCGTCAAAAACATTATTATTTTGATACCGCTTTTATGTGTGCTCACAAATAAAATATGTTGTGTATTAGTATTATGTTCTCATGTTAAGTGAATTGTATCATAATTCATAATGAGAATAAATAATTTTAAACCAAAAAAAAAAAAAAAAAAAAAGCGAAATTATTACTAAACAAACCGTTATATTGCGATAATCGTCTGTATTACAGTCGTCAGAAAATAAGAAGCCCGTTTTGACATTTGTCATGGTAGCGTAACTAGTGATTAACCATACGACTCGGTGCACGATACTTACGATAAATCGATTCAAGCTTGTAGAGTATTTGATTGATTTGACTATATATAACAAAGCGCATTGGATTTAAGTTATAATTAGAACATATAACTTAAACTTTAATGTTATAGGCAATTTGAAATGATACAATGGAAAGAAATGTCAATTTGTCTTTAATTTAAAAATTTAGCTCAATCACAACTAAATCAAGAAAAGTGAAATCAATCATTTTCTTCTGATGACGAGCCAGATAAGTTATCGTCGCTTGTATATATAATTATTTCATTTTCTATAATATTATCAATATTGACGTCTCTATCATAATCTTCCTTTATTATTTTTCGCGTCTTTTCTACCACTTTTGCCCGATCTTCTTTAGTTATTTTATCACAAGCTTCTTTTAACAATGTCATCATATTCTTAGTGGAGAATGGTGGCTTTGTATTATGACGTGCTGCGTATCCTTTGACCTGAGCCCATATTAATTCAATAGCATTGTACTGACAATGGAACGGCGGCGTTCTTATCATTTTGTGACCATGTTGAAGTGCCAATTCATCGATTTTATATCTTAATTTTGCAGGTTTATTTTGTTTTACTAATTCCAGCAGTTCAGCTTTCAATAAATTCATGTCAGCTTCTACGCCTTTTCTTTGTAACAACGCCACTAAATCTGCCTTTTTGCTTGCTTGAGTAGGTGCCTTATCTATTTGAACTGAATGGTAAGGTGCATTATCCATAATTATTGTGCACTGTTCGGGGAGGTTTATTAACAACTTAGTAAACCACTCTAAGAATTTATTTGCATCCATTTCTTCGTGGTATTCTTTTGTACTTCTGGACTCGAATGCGAGTAGAGCATCATGCACAAAACCTCCCCCGGCTGATCCGGCATGGCAGATTATTAGGCGTCCACCCTTACCCATTGGCACTTTTGAACAAGATGCCTTGGTATCATCCGTCCGTGACTGTGGCACGGTATGATTCGAGTTCAGCCAAGTTTCATCGATAAATATGACACTATCCCAATTTGTAATTTTGTTCATTTGCCTCAAGTATGATACTCTGTGCAAAATTATATCATATCGTTCCATCATAATTTTCCTCTTGTCGGTTTTCTTGTATTTGAAACCAATTTGCTTCATAATTGTTACTAAAGATGTTGCACTGCCACTAAACAGGCCAGCCTCTCTTAGTGATACCACCAATTTACTTACAGTTGGGTACTCACTTCTCGTGTAATAAGCATATACGTGGTTTCGAATAGCATCTGCGTCAAATGTGTCAATACCTGTTACAGGCTTGCTTTTCTTCCTCTTCTTAGGCGTATGTAACACATTCTCTTCAGTACCGGAAGACCCAGACTTTTCCTTCAAAATGGTTCTAATAGTTTTTTTTCCGATTCCAAGTGCTTCTGCTACGCGATCTTGCACTTGAGTTACGGGTAATAATGGTCTACCATTAAGTGATTCGCGTTCGAAGTATTCGGTTAATTTCACAACCAATTCGCGTGATTGGCTGTTGATTGTACGTCCTCTTTTCGACATGTTGAAACAGAGTTTGGACAATATAACAACAAACACCAAAATCGAGTCCAAATCGCTATATCTAAAATGTCCGGAATAGAAGAGCCAAGGTCTACGTGATAGTAAACAAAAACAGTCCAAAAGCAAAGCCGAGTCTAGAAAAAATATCAAACATAAACGAGCGCACAGTCAACTTCACAAGATGTCGAACGAAAGACTGCGCAGTACGCGGTACGCGCATGGATCACGTGCCGCTTGGTCATAGACAAAACATTCTATAGGTACATAGAGAAAGGAAACAAATTATGTACGGCTTTGATAATTCTTTTATAGACTAACTTTTAAGGACTGTTGTCAAATGTTACTGTTGCAAAATGAGAAATGACGTTTGAGACAGAAAAATGAGGATGAATTATTTTTTTCAATATCATGATGAAATGATTTGGTTAAAAAACCCGGAGTCCACTCCGGGTTTTTAATTAACCGACTTCAAAAAAGGAGGAGGTTCTATGTTCCACTGTATGTATTTTTTTTTTATGTATGTTCATCGATTACTTCGTCAATCTTGTGGACACCACCAAGTTTTTAGGTATAACACTAGACTCTAAATTGCAATGGGGCCCACACATTGACGGATTGTCGAATAGACTCAGCTCTGCAGCATACGCGGTTTACAAAATTCGTCAATTAACCGATGTAGAAACAGCTAGACTGGTGTATTTTAGCTATTTTCATAGTGTAATGTCATACGGTATTTTGTTGTGGGGAAATGCTGCTGACATTCAAAGTATCTTTGTGTTGCAAAAGAGAGCTGTTCGTGCAATTTATAATCTCAGTTATAGGCAGTCACTGAGGGATAAGTTTAAAGAAATTGGTATCATGACAGTCGCATCTCAATATATATATGAAAATTTAGTGTATGTAAAGAAAAATAATCATTTATTCACAAAGTTTAGCGACATGCATAAAATAAACACTAGAAATAAAGATAAACTCGTGTTACCAACCACTAGGCTACAAAAAGTAAGCAAGTCTTTTCGTTGTCAGGGTGTGCGATTTTACAATAAAGTGCCAAGCAAATTCCATGAATTAAGTAGGTATTAATAAATTTAAGTCTTTAGTAAAGCTAAAACTATGTGAAAAGGCTTACTACACTATTACAGATTATTTAGACGACAAATTTGCTTGGGATTGATGCTGCTCACTCCCACATTTACGTAGACATCTTTGTTGTTAAGTTTGAAAGTGATGGACATTTAATTATTATTATTTTTGGTGTATTTCGTATTTTGTTTTTGTATTTTATTTTTTCGTTGACTTTGAACTGTATAGTATTTTTTTTATTTTTTGTGTAAGTATGTAAATGTGAGTACAGTGTAGGCTTGTAATGTTAATTCATATTTTATTATCTTTCTGGTGGTTTTGAGTGTTTCCATGGCCTACCCAAATGTCCTGCTGGCGGTAGTGTCATGCTTCGGGTCGTTGATCTTGACCAATATCGGTTAGGCTACACGATGGCTGGAGCCTGTATGCCGTCTGTATGGACAGGTTGACTCAAAACTATGGTCCTTTCCTCAAAAGGCCTATCCAGACCCTATACTGTACTCGCACAGTTTTATTTAACTTTGTTTACGAACTTAAAAAAAAAGACACCTCTGTGGTTTGTTTCGGCGTTTCTTCCCAGAGTGAGTCTTAGGAAATGCCGGCTCCTTCTAGCTATAAAGTCCGACTTGTAAAAATATCTGAAAAGATTTACTTACAGAAATAAATATCATTTCATTTCTCATTTCTATGTGTTTCATATAATTTCTGAAGCTATTCTAGTATTTGCGTCTGGTAGTCATTATCTCGTGTTGATGAGCTGGTGATGGAAGGTACAACTCCTTAACGTTTAGGAGTTACAGGAAGATTCTTTAAATATCATATGCACTTATAGACCCTTAGTTGTATTCTTTCAAGTTATTCAGGTGAGTTGATAATGGAAGGTACAACTCCTTAACGGTTAGGAGTTGGAGGAAGATTCTTTAAATATCATATGCACGTATAGACCTTTCATTGTATTCTTTCAAATTATTCAGGTGAGCGAATAATGGAAGTTAAATAAAAAATATCCACAACCGTCAGGAGTTAAATGATTGATACTTTAAGTTGCTGATGTAGAAACCTATATTCTGTGGGAAAACACATGTAAAATTGAGGGTTAGAATAGCCTCATACACTATACAACGAGCTTGTCTTATTGTTCAAATTTAAATATTTTATTTACATTAGTCTTAATCGTTGCATTTCGCGCAATACTTTTTCATCGTGCGGTTTCTTAATTAATTTTTTGGGCTCAAAGTCGCAGAGAGCAACACCATCTAGGGTCTTAACGTGACTTAGTGCAACATAAACTTGGCCTTTGGCAAAATCTTTTTTGCCTAAATTAATCACGGCTTTGTTTAGGGTAGTGCCCTGAAGTTTATGCACCGTTACTGCCCAACTGAGGATTAGCGGTAGCATTCTCCGTTCCACATCCCCGTAGCCTTTAGTTGCCTGATACGTTGTTGATACAGGGGCTATGGCAACTAGCCCGTCAGTGTATTTTGCTTTAGTGGCAATAGTGCTGTCATCAAATTTCATAAGAACTGAATCGGGTAACTCGCCTGATTCCATTTGATCACGGCGAAGGGCAGGCCATCTAAAATTGGACACGATCCCCATTGCCCCATTGACCAGACCCTCACTTCCAGATATGTTGCGTCTCAACATAACTCGGGAGCCTATGCCCAGTTTTAATATGTGCATCAAACCACCACAGTTGTTCGCATCAGCAGGAATAACGTTTGAAAGGTGGTCGTTTTCCGTAGGTTGCTACCTCTCGCGACTCATCGATAGTACACAATGTGTATACGCGGCTTGACTGAATTAGTTGGTCCGTCATATTGGTGTTGTATTCCTCTACCAATTTGATGGTTGGAAAAATTCTAACTGCAACACCATCTGCGAATTCACCAACCTGTTCAAATCGTCTTTTTTCATACAAAGTTTGTAACTGTGGGATTGTGAGCTCACCAAATCGCAAATTATTTAATATATCAACAAACTCCACATCGCTACTCTGACGCATGTTAATAGTAAGTTCGCAAAAGTTCGCAAAACTGTTGCCATAAATATATTTCGGCGTTTGACCACGGCGGTTGTTCGAAGCACCAATGCCCTTTAACTGGTGGTAACTGCATGATGTCGCCAAATAACAACACATTTACCCCACCAAATAGTAAATTGTTGTTTTTAAACTCCTGGAGGCGTAAATGAATTATACCCAAATTTTAATAGGACTGTCTTTGTTGTTGCAACAAGAACCAATCCTGCACTAGTAAGAGGTAACGGTAATTGCTCAGCAATTTCGACAACATCTTGTGCAAATAAAACCACTTTTTACTCCAATTCTGGCTGAACCTATTTTGCACTTTAATAATTTTAATAAAAGGGATCATTCGTGTAAGTAAACGTTGTTCGACATCTGACAAACAAGCTAGTTCTGTTGGTATATGTGTAACGTCCATTTTGTTCCAATACGCTTGTGAAGGCACTTTACGTTTTTTGAGATTGGTAGAGCATCGAAAACATGTGACAATTTTACTTATTCCTACCTATTCGTTAGGTAGTCAGTCTTTTTAACCGACTTCCAAAACACAAAAGAGGAGGTTCTCAATTCGTCTATATTTTTTTTTTATGTATGTTTGTTCCGCGATTTCTCCGTCAATAGGGAATCTGCATGTATTTTTTTTAATTTTTTTTACCGATTCTACTAGTTATTACAATACCAAAAATAAATATAACACATGCGAAATATAAACCGTTAAGCAAAAAAAAAAATTATTAAAATCACTATCATTTTGGGGCAATTTGAACACGTCCATTTTGGCGCGCTTTTTTTGTGACGTCAGATTACACTTTCAGACGAATTCGATGTCAACAACGGAGTGAAGTTCACAAAGTTTCTTCTTTAAATATTAAATAATACACTAATTACACATTTATCTCTTTTTTTAATGTAATTTTTGTGAACGATTTTCAGAAACTCTATTCGGCCATAAAACGGCTTTTTAACAGTTACAACACTACGGCAACCAACCCAAAGACATGACATTGTAGTAAAGTCCTGTCGGAATATTAATCAACGATTAATTCGTGTTTTTGAGTGCATTTTTTCAATATAAAGTTAAACTTGATGCTTATTTATGATACGCGTTGTGATAGTGTATGGGTAACATAGTAATTAAATAGGATTATGAATTTGATTTTTCAATTTCTTACATAGACGTTCATACAAAGTTATCGCGGCATGTCAAATGAGAAACGTCAAAACGGGCTTCTTATTTTGTGACGACTTTACAAAGAGATTTTGATTGATATACTCACATTCTGGAAAATCCAATAAAACAGCAATTTGTCTCGATCTTCCTGCCCAAGCGGCGAGATGTAGTGGAATTCGACCAAGACCATGAGTCCTAAAGCTTGAGCCCCAGCTGCGATGAGCATCGATAACGATTCATTATCCATCATGGCAGCCATGTGACAAGCTGATACGCAGTTTAGATGGCACGTGGCATTGGGGCTAGCATCTAACTTTAATAGTCTGGAAGTGAATAGTCTGAATACACATATAAAATTCTTAGCCCTGACTTACTGATTCATCGACGCCTAAAAGGCTGGGCCACAAACTTGATATTTTGGCAAATAATGCTTTTTAACTTGTAAGCATCCTCTAAAAAAGGATCTTTGTAAATTTCACCCCGAAGCGGATAAAATAAGGGATGAAGGGTTGTATGAAAGTTCGTTATTTTCAAAGATTGAAACACGAAATACGAGTCATCATAATAACTAGTATAACTCTATGACAGACAAACGTAAGGCATGAGTTCCTGTATGTACGGGCTAAATCTTCTTGGCGATTATCGCAGCAATGGATGATCTTAGTGACGTCATACCAGGATTCACAGATTTAAACTCTGTGACAGACGAACGTAAATGGATTACTAAAAGTTCCTGTCTGTACAGGCTACATCTTCTTGGCGATTATCTCTGTAATGGATGACTTGGTGTAGTATAGGTTTACAGAGTTACACTTTTTTCGACAGCCCAGGTTAATGTTATAATAAGTATTTTTTTAAATGTAATTTGCGAAGTAAGATTGCGACACTATTAATTATTTTAAAGTTATTAATTTGTTTTTTTTTTTAATTTTATTTTTAAGCCTTAATAACATTTAAGCAGCATAGCAGAAATATAATATCAATATCGTAGATAATGATATTAGTTACTTTTTAAGAATTAAGATATTGCCGATATGAGTATGCCCTGTGTCTGAGCATATGATCTGCTTTTCGCAAAATATTAAAAAAAGACCAAGGGATCTGGTACACATCGATAGTTCAAGTAATAGTTGCCATTGACATAAACTAAAAACAATTAAATCAATCAATCAATCAATCAATCAATCATTTATTTCGTAAAACACAGGTAAATTCAGATGTTACAAACCATATTTAAAAGATCGCCATGTTTCGCCAATAGGCATACAAAACAATAAAAGGATTTCATTATTCCTGTGCAATACAACTGTTTAAAGTCCAGTAATCATATACTTATTCAATTCAATAAAAATAGACTTTGATTTGATTTCTTAATTAAAAACATACTGATATTGATAAATGATGATTAAATCGGGAAAAATGTTAAAATAATTAAAAATGACAAACTCAATATGTCAAATAATTAACAATCAAAAAAGTCGAACTAAATATGTCAAAATAATGAATAATCGAAAATGTCAAAATAATTAAAAGTTCAAAATACTAAATAAAATGTCAAAATAAATTAAATTTTTTAAAACAATTAATAATTACAACGTCAAAATAAATGTCATTTACAAATACCTAATCATATACATAACTAATTGAAGTCAAAATTTATCATTCAGAAAATCTATTATGGAGTAGTATGCTTTGTCAATAAGTAATTTTAAGAGATTGCTTTTAAATTCATTAACATTTTTACGGTCTCTTATTTGTTTTGGTAAATGATTGTACAGCTTTGGTGCCATTGCGTATACACTTTTATGTAGAAGTGCTGTTTTGGCTTTTAATAAGTGCAATTTGTCGGAGCGACGTTGACTTTCTATAAAAGAAAATAGAGAAATGTTATTTCTCACGAACATGCAGACTTCATAAATGTACATAGATGGAAATGTCAATAGTCTTAGTTTACAAAAGTGTGGCTTACATGTATCAGTGCTTTTTAGTTTACACATAGCTCGGAGACATTTCTTTTGAGCTATAAACACGTCTTGCTTATTTGTGGCATTACCCCAGAATATTATACCGAACCTTAAGGTCGATGACACATAGCCGTGATAAGCGGCAAGAAGTGCATTTTCATTAGCTACTTTTGATAGCATATATAAAGCATAGGAAAATTCTTCCCTGTGGCACGCCGTATTTAATTTTTCTAGCATTTGATGAATAAGTTACCTCAGTTTTAGATTTGAAATTGACTGAATTTATCTGTGTTATTTGATTTCTATCTTCTAAAACTACATTATAATCAAACTTTGACCACTAGGATCTCTAGTATTTATTAATCTGTGCGATTACTTTCATATCTCAAAAGGTCTTCTTTAGTTCGACTTTTCGATAACAGTAAAGTAAGTTCTTAAAGAAAATAAACAACAAGAAAAGATGTCAGTTAAATTGTTTCTCAGCTAACCACATACTTAGATATTCTCTCGATGTCACCATTTCCGACAGCATCTAGAAGGCGCGTGTTCTTGTGACAGCCCTTCAATCTAGGATCATTTGGCCATGACAAGCGGCCAACCAATTCTGTGATGGTTTTATCTTCCTTGCCCTCGTTCTCTACATAGAAAAGAATTAAAAACCATTTTTCATTATAAATAATAATATTTTCACAAATTCACATACGGCCGTCTAATCTCAAACTAGGCAGAGTCTGTACTATGGTAACCACTGCTGCTGCTGCTGATAAAGTACACCCAGACAGAGAATAAATTACCGTGCTCATCACATAATTATTTGTCCTGGGTGGGCATCGACCCCACGACCTCTGGCGAAGCAGTCACTAAACACTAGACCAAAAGTCCAGTCGAGTTTCTTTGATGCTTGGCTTCTATTGGTGGTAGCGTTATAGAGTCTATAGCCCTTCTCAATGAATGTGCTATCCAACACTAAAATAATTATTAAATTCGAAACAGTAGTTCAAACGCACCATTCAGCTTTATACATATTAGGATACAGTAAACATTAAATATATTCTGTTCTAGAACGCATAAAACGAGCTAGACAAACCGTGTCTCGATAGCTATGTGTGATAGAATATTGTTATTAATTTGACCATAGATTCTAGTAATATTGAGGAAAATGCATGTGTATATGTTGTTTACATTGACGCCTGTTGGTTTAATAGGACCTCATTAAATTTAAATCAATAAAATCGGGTTATACACCGTTTTTTTAAACAATATAACTCCCTATTGTATTAAACACTTATTAAAACGTGTGCGTTACCCCAGCAAAATAATGTCGAAAATGGTCATTTAAACGTTATAGATAATTAGTTGCTCCCCTTCTGTAATTGTTAGGCACATTTTTAAATTTGTTTCACTTAAACTTTTTTAGTTATTTCGAAAAAACATTTCCTGCTGGGGTAACGTTTGAAACTTTACCGCAGCCAGACATTTTCTTTTTTAATTGTAATATTGAAATAAATTTTAGCTAAATAATTAGTTATCTGGACTAGGTAAATGTTACAACTTATTTGGTATTTTTATTTTCTTCGGCTGCGAAGTTATTCGAGATCCTGCTGGAGTAACGTTTGTGGCTTTGCTGGATCTCTGAAACGGGTAAGCGGATTGTACCATTTGTAACCATCTTTTGTACATAACTTCTCAAGGATTAGTTTTAATTTGTTCGACAATAAAATAACAAAAATAATTTACCGTTTAAAAATTATTTAGGTAAGTATGAAAACACTTCAATACGTCCTAACACTTTAAATAAGACCTCTAAAGACTTACTTCAAACGTTATTCTATTGCTTGTAACTACCTTCAAATGTATACGAATTTTCGTAAGAATACTGTAAGTGACTAAAAAGTTATGATGAAATGTAGCTCTCCACGTTCACGATCACAATGTGTGCGGCCTTTTTTGGCCACCGATAAACCTGTGTGTGGATATATAAACTGAATGTTATGCCAATAATTAGTTGTTTAGTTCAGTTGTCTACCTGTAAAATTTCAGCGTAGTACATATAATAATTTACGAGATAATTTAATAAAAGTAATTAGAAGGTGCAAGTCCGTGGTAATCCGACCATGTTTAGGTGGTTATAAAAAAGCGATCACCCAGTACATTGTGCTGGCTTTTAAAATATGTAGGATATTATTTGCAAGTTTACTACGGATATGTACATAAGTGTTACAAAAAACTACATGTTTTTTAATTTTTTTTTTATTTAGGATTGTTTATTGCATAATTAGTAATCAGCCGTGAGATTAGGTAATGTTTTGAATGCTTTTGTTTTCTCGTAATGTTTAGGTAAATTGTTTATAGTTGTTCATAGAATTGGTACCTGCGTAGTATTTGTTAATTGAAGTTTAATTTTAGGGTAGGTATAGGTAATTTAAGTTTTGAAGAGTGTAACGTATGCGTTGTAAATACTTAGGTTTTTTGTGAATAGATGGGGATTTTTTTAAGTGATGAATCGACTTAGGCTAGCATATCGCGAACAAACTCTGTATTGCATTATTTCTGTAATAATCTTGGAGAAAATAAAATATTTGATCACAAAATCGCGGTGAGTTAAATTATAATAAATTAATTATTTATGTAAAATTAGTAATAAGTGATATACCTACCTACAAGTTATGATCGTTTTTAATTTGTTCACCCTGAACGAAATTTCAATATTAGCATTAGTAATTAATATCCTAAGACAAGAATTGACAATTACTTAAATTGAATCGAATTAGCATTAATGCCCATTATTAGTAATTAGGTACACACATATTGAAGAACTCTCAAGAATACGATAAATATTTGCAAAAATAGAAAGCGGAAGCGCACACGTACTTTACAAGACGTATATTATCTGCCTAAGGGTCAAGTTTAGGGCACTAGATGCAAATTGCAAACAATGAAGTATCCCTTCGCCCCTCCCCTCCCGCGTTCTAGCGAAGGATGTATTATCGACGATTCTTGTTTGACAAATATTATCTGACCAACAATTTTATCTATAAAAGGGTATCACTTTCACTCGATAAATTAAATTACCGTTATTAGGTACATCAAAATATCATTCAACAACATTTCGTTTTTAACAGAAATCAACCTTCACGGGCTCAACGCTTAGCCGTACATAGGTATAGATAATTCTCGGTTCTTGATATAGACCACAGAACAATATTACCTACTCTTACGAGGTATACGACTGTTGGGTGATGCAATGTTGATGCATTCTAATTTACAACTGTATTCTTCTACTATTCGGTCTATTTTAACTTATTGTAGATGACTTGTTGCTTTGAATATTTTGATGCATTTAAGTCTAAGCTCTATACACCTCAAAATAAAATACAATTACTTTAGTGTTATTTCTTTACAAAAAAAATCAAAGAAATGAAACGATTTCTTATTGGTTTAAATTTTCGATTTATTTCAGTCAGGTGAATCGTTCATACATGTATCTACATATTTATAATTTTAGCGGACCAGTACAGATTTTCTGTTGATTGTAGCTCCGGTAGTTAAAAAGACTAAAGAAATTTTAAGTAAAGAAACTAGTGCTTAAGATCAATTAGGAAAAAAAATCTAAATAAATAATAAGTAATAATAATGAATAAATATTGAATGTATTTAACACTGTACGCAACTGTACCGAAATCGTAAGGTGTATTACACTAAACATTTTAAAAGACAGCGCAATGTACTGGGTGATCGCTTTTTTGTAACCACCTAAACATGGTCGGATTACCACGGACTTGCACCTTCTAATGACTTTTATTTAATTATCTCGTAAATTATTATATGTACTACGCTGAAATTTTACAGGTAGACAACTGAACTAAACAACTAATTGTTGGCATAACATTCAGTTTATATATCCACACACAGGTTTATCGGTGGCCAAAAAAGGCCGCACACATTGTGATCGTGAACGTGGAGAGCTACATTTCATCATAACTTTTTAGTCACTTACAGTATTCTTACCAAAATTCGTATACATTTGAAGGTAGTTACAAGCAATAGAATAACGTTTGAAGTATGTCTTTAGAGGTCTTATTTAAAGTGTTAGGACGTATTGAAGTGTTTTCATACTTACCTAAATAATTTTTAAACGGTCCATTATTTTTGTTATTTTATTGCCGAACAAATTAAAACTAATCCTTAAGAAGTTATGTACAAAAGATGGTTACAATCCGCTTACCCGTTTCAGAGATCCAGCAAACCCACAAACGTTACTCCAGCAGGATCTCGAATAACTTCGCAGCCGAAGAAAATACAAATACCAAATAAGATGTAACATTTACCTAGTCCAGATAACTAATTATTTAGCTAAAATTTATTTCAATATTACAATTAAAAAAGAAAATGTCGGGCTGCGGTAACGTTTCAAACGTTACCCCAGCAGGAAATGTTTTTTTGAAATAACTAAAAAAGTTTAAGTGAAACAAATTTAAAAATGTGCCTAGCAATTACAGAAGGGGAGCAACTAATTATCTATAACGTTTAAATGACCATTTTTGACATTATTTTGCTAGGGTAACGCACACATGAAAGACTTTAATTTTGCTGCTCAAAGGGAGCTGTCAACTTAAGAATGTCATTGATAATCTTTTTTACTGTCAAATTTCTTGTAACTATTAGAGCAGACACATTATTGTGGGTTTAAGGGTATGAAGTCGCGAGTAATTAATATTATTATTATTTTGTCAACAAGCAGGCAATCGTATACGACTGATAATATTCCAGTTTTTCCACTATTTTTTTTTTTATGCAAGGTAATATTTATCGTACGTTCTTAAACTGAATGGTAATGTCATCTGACACTACATATTCTAGATGCTTGTTTTGCTGATTTTTGGAGGATTGTTGTTGGAAAAACTGGTGATACTAATAGGTACATTATAAGTGTGACTGTTACTTCATTTGGTCTTTTCGGTTTACCAATACTTTCGCATACCAATGTCATTATGCTGGGGCAGTGGTAATAAAGACTTAAAAGTTTGGCTAATCTCTTATCATATCTATGAAAGGAGAAACTGAGAGACTGGTTCACTGACTGATCGATCAAGGCACAGCTGAAACCGCTGGGTATAAAAGCATGAAATGTTGCACAAATGTTCCTTAGGTGATGTAGGTGTACACTAAGAACGGTTTTTTTTAAATTCCTCCTAATTATATGAAACTTCGTCGTTTTTGGCGTTTTCAAACTCACAGTAAATACTTTTTATTAAAACAAATAAAAAACGTTGTTACTAATTTTTCAAAACTACCCTTAAAAAGGGGTGAAAATTTGTATGGAGAATATACCTATATTCTTGATTCATTGTATCCTCTACGATGTCTGATCGACCACCACTCGGACGAAGTCGCATGCAAAAGCGACTAATAGTTCTACTGCTAATCATGCGTCTGCCTTCAGTGCAGGCGTTTGACAATGGACCCTTGGCCCTTTTTTTAAGAGTACGCCTAAGACACTAGGAAAAAATCCTGTGTCTGGGTGACTTTACAAACATACATGAAACGGACACAAAATACATCCAGACTCAAAACAACAATTTGTGGATCACACAAAGTGTTCTCCCATGTGGGGATGGAACCCACAACACTCAGCGCAGTAGGAAGCAGCGAGTTGACCGCTTAAATCACTAAGCCATCCGTGCAGTCAATACCCTTACATATTAACTATTGCCTGCGGCTTTACTCGCATGTTCATTTCTAACTTTCAAAATGACAAAGTTCCATACAACCGATCATCGCTTATTTTACTCCTGTTAGTGGTGAAATTTCCAAAAGATTCTTTTTCAAAGTGTCAAACTTGTAGCCCTAGCGATGTAGGCTCGGAGTTGATGAATCAGTCAGGACAAGTAATTTTTATATGTATAGATAAAGAAGGAGAAGATGGTACGCATGGATTAACTTAATTCAAATAAATAATTACTTACCTGTGCACTTTCTACCACCATACACGTACACAGACATTGTTTAATTCCTTCACAGCACAATAACTAACAGACTGCAAAAAACGACTTAAAGTTCTCAACTGAATGTTTTTTCCTCATTACTAAATAGACATAATGTTAAACTAATTGTTATAAATATTTGTTTTCAATTTATTAGTCATATAGGAAAATGAACAGACAATGTACTTAAGTTGTACGCCTCCGTAGCATCAGCGACACTTTCAGTTTTTAAATCTTAACTTCACGACTTGCTTCTACTTGTACAGAGTATTTTAAGAAGATCAAAAGAACATGAAATAAAAAGACCTTCCTTCATGTAGCAGCTTCAACACAAAATAAGAGCTAAACAAATAGTTTTATTAACAAATCTCAAAAAAATGATTCTCTTGACCCGTTAGCTCGTTTGCCCTCTGTTCCATAAAAAAGGAAAATAACAGTGAGAGTCAAACTAAGTACTGTAGCGGATCATCTTATTGGCACCACTAGCGACGAACGAGATCGAAGTAAACTTCGATTATTGAGACCTCCCCTCGGCGCTGTGGCTGAAAGCAAATGTAGGTTTTATCGGGTCTAAGAAACAATGTTCTCTGAAGATATAATTACGATCATTCAGCACCTAATGAATCTGTCATCGTGCAAGTGTGCTAGCGAACAAATGCAGTGTGTGAAATTACATGTAGAACCCAGTAGACTGATAATGACCATTTACGTTAAGGTCTTAGCGACCACCTGTATGGACGTCGATTTGTCAGTGACGTTCTTCAATGTCGCTTTAATTAAAGGAAACAAGCTAGTGAATTATTACGAAATCAACACATTCTAAGTCTTCCCTCACTCTCAGATCTAAAACATGGCAATTATATCACTTTTATTTGTCCGCACTCGTCCGGTGTCCATAAACGTGATTCCGTTTCAGATGTCAGGTTTTTTTATCAACAGAGGTATGCCTTAGCATATATGGGCCGACTAGACAGGGGTTCACGGCCTCCCTGAACACCGGTGTAAGCATTTCTTACATTGTTTTTCACCTAGTGAGGGACGGAGACCACAGTTCTGGGGACGGGCTCGCTCAAAGGGCTTGGCTCTTGGGTTACAAGTGTCCATGGGCGATGGTAGATACTTACTATCACGTGATAAATTTTATTGAAATGATTGTTTTTTTCTTTTTATCCAAGATACAGCCCTTTTTTAAGATTTTAGCCTTTCGCGAGTCTTGCGATTTTGTAAATCAGTCACCGGTGTGCTTATAATATGATTTTTAAATCATATAATTTATCACATGTGATTGTGATGTTATACCATCCCTACCTCCTATACCACAAAAAAGCAAACGTAGTTCCCTCTTGGACTTCGTGTAAGGGTTATGTTACTTATGGTTTATTTTTTCGATTATTAAACAACAAAATTTTTTGACATCTGACAACGCCATTTAGTTTCAAACTAAGCAGAGCTTGTACTATGAAAGCTAGATTGACTGATAAAATACTTAAATACTTTTTTTTTGTAAATACATGTGGTGACAGATAAAGAATGGGTGTCGTAAGAGCCGACTAAGGGGGCAAACTACGCTGAACAACAGCACTGCAAAGAGTAGGAAAACTTGACACAAACCCTATACCAACCCGTCCGGCCAGCGTGGTATAGTAGGCCAAAAATCTCTTTTCCAAGGAGAGGTCTATGTCCAGCAGTGGGCTGTTAAAGATTGTTGATGATATTATATATAACAAATATTTGCAGATCATACAAAAACATTTGTTCCGACTCGGGAATCGATCCCGAGAAATTAGTACAGCACTGTCGCATATGCTACCACTGCACCACCGAGGCAGTCGATTTCAAATGAGATAAAATAAAACAAATTCGATTCATTGTTTATTGAAATATCTCTTTCATAAAAATTATTAAATTACATAAGATGACAAAATATAACAATTATTATAATAACATATCATTTGAAATAACACTGAGAAACAATAAAATTCAAAGCTACCATTTTAATCGCAGCAAACTGCGAAAAAAATCACGACCGCTAAAATATTTACACACTCTATACTCTAGAATAACTACAGAATATATAAAAGTTACAAGTTGCATTGGTTGTTAGTGCCTGGCCGAAATAATGTTTATATATTGAATAAAGTATAAAAATTCAAACTGTAAAACAGATAGACAAACACAGAATGGATGAGAAAGACAAATTGTTACGTTATAAAACAAACTATCAATAACGATTACCAGACGTCAACGTCAATTATTAAAAGTTATAACTACAAAAACACATTATAGATCGATATAAGAACCAACCAACTCCTCGAGTAAAAAATTAATGAATACATAGGTATATATTTACATCACTTATATAGTTTTTTTTTTAAATTATTAAATGCATTAAAACTATTTCTCAGTGTTATTCCAAAAAGCAAGAAGTCAGCCGTCTCGTGTCGTCGTAAGCTTTCACAACAAGAAATTAAATAGGAACCATGAGTGTTTCAGATTATAAGTTATTTTACTCGTAACTCCGCTTAAGTTGCAGGTACTATAATCAAAAAAAGTTTTCTAAAAAAGTTTCGTTCTATTATACAAGTAATTTCAACCAAGATCCCCTGAAAAACTATTTTGGTAAAATAAGATCTCACAATTAAGAAATAATAATCCAGATACATACACATTCGAAAACTCTTTCAAATCCTTGATTATGACTAATATGCTAAGTATTCATTCTAATTATGCAAATTGTGAAAATGATGTAGGGGCAACAATATTAAATCTAAAGTAATTGTTGCCCCCATGTCATTCATACCAAGCAACCACGATTGTAGAAAAAGAGCCAAATATTGTACAGAAGAATGCTGCAATATCAACAACTTCTTCTACTTCCATACAGGTTACATAATCAATAATGTAAGGGGTTTAAATGTATTAAATGCAAAAAAAACAATGATTACAAAGGAGTTGACAAATGTGCATGAATTAACTTTGTATAGAGAACGAAAAAGTTTAAAAAACAAAAACTTAAAGTATCCCTGTACCCAATTTATTGTAGCATTTTCTCAATTAATCAATGCAATACACGAATACTTGGAACATAACTGCAATAAAAAATATGTATACAAGAATGTCAGACAAAAATATTTAGAAGAAATAAATTTGGAATGGTTGGGCTGTTCTCTCCATAAAGATCTATTAAAAGAACATTTTATTAAGATCATAACACGATTACAAATTTTTAATTAGTGCCGAGGCATCAACTTAATTTTGGGTGGAACCGTTCAAAGAAAAGTAAAATAGGCACATTTAAGTACAGTTCAAAAATTAGACTACAACAAGTTTATGAAAAGCAGGAAATATAAGATTAAAAACTAAAAGTTGTTTCAATTTTTGTACCTTTTTAAACATGATAAGAATAAAAAATAAGACTAATTTCAAAATGGGCAACATCGTGATTTGTCAGTGACGTTCTTCAATGTCGCTTTAATTAAAGGAAACAAGCTAGTGAATTATTACGAAATCAACACATTCTAAGTCTTCCCTCACTCTCAGATCTAAAACATGGCAATTATATCACTTTTATTTGTCCGCACTCGTCCGGTGTCCATAAACGTGATTCCGTTTCAGATGTCAGGTTTTTTTATCAACAGAGGTATGCCTTAGCATATATGGGCCGACTAGACAGGGGTTCACGGCCTCCCTGAACACCGGTGTAAGCATTTCTTACATTGTTTTTCACCTAGTGAGGGACGGAGACCACAGTTCTGGGGACGGGCTCGCTCAAAGGGCTTGGCTCTTGGGTTACAAGTGTCCATGGGCGATGGTAGATACTTACTATCACGTGATAAATTTTATTGAAATGATTGTTTTTTTCTTTTTATCCAAGATACAGCCCTTTTTTAAGATTTTAGCCTTTCGCGAGTCTTGCGATTTTGTAAATCAGTCACCGGTGTGCTTATAATATGATTTTTAAATCATATAATTTATCACATGTGATTGTGATGTTATACCATCCCTACCTCCTATACCACAAAAAAGCAAACGTAGTTCCCTCTTGGACTTCGTGTAAGGGTTATGTTACTTATGGTTTATTTTTTCGATTATTAAACAACAAAATTTTTTGACATCTGACAACGCCATTTAGTTTCAAACTAAGCAGAGCTTGTACTATGAAAGCTAGATTGACTGATAAAATACTTAAATACTTTTTTTTTGTAAATACATGTGGTGACAGATAAAGAATGGGTGTCGTAAGAGCCGACTAAGGGGGCAAACTACGCTGAACAACAGCACTGCAAAGAGTAGGAAAACTTGACACAAACCCTATACCAACCCGTCCGGCCAGCGTGGTATAGTAGGCCAAAAATCTCTTTTCCAAGGAGAGGTCTATGTCCAGCAGTGGGCTGTTAAAGATTGTTGATGATATTATATATAACAAATATTTGCAGATCATACAAAAACATTTGTTCCGACTCGGGAATCGATCCCGAGAAATTAGTACAGCACTGTCGCATATGCTACCACTGCACCACCGAGGCAGTCGATTTCAAATGAGATAAAATAAAACAAATTCGATTCATTGTTTATTGAAATATCTCTTTCATAAAAATTATTAAATTACATAAGATGACAAAATATAACAATTATTATAATAACATATCATTTGAAATAACACTGAGAAACAATAAAATTCAAAGCTACCATTTTAATCGCAGCAAACTGCGAAAAAAATCACGACCGCTAAAATATTTACACACTCTATACTCTAGAATAACTACAGAATATATAAAAGTTACAAGTTGCATTGGTTGTTAGTGCCTGGCCGAAATAATGTTTATATATTGAATAAAGTATAAAAATTCAAACTGTAAAACAGATAGACAAACACAGAATGGATGAGAAAGACAAATTGTTACGTTATAAAACAAACTATCAATAACGATTACCAGACGTCAACGTCAATTATTAAAAGTTATAACTACAAAAACACATTATAGATCGATATAAGAACCAACCAACTCCTCGAGTAAA